TTCCCCACCTACCTAAGTTCTGCCCTGTCAACAGGCCAAGGCAGTTTCTTTATTCAGCAATGGTATTTACAGCATACAGAGGGGACTCCCACATCAGTTCACGGTAAGCCAGGCACATCAGCAGATGGGTGAGCCCAAATCTGGAGCAAGGGCTGGGATATCGAGGTTACTGAGTACCAGCCTCAGCACTCTCCCAGGGTTCAGAATAGGACTTCTACGACAAGCGAAGACTGGTTTGGAATGGGATAGAGGGGTAGAACAAACTGACTGACTTAGACGCTTTTTTTTTCCTGGATGTTTCCTTATGAGCATAAGGGAAAAGAAGCAGCCTGGGGCATAAGGCACAAGGGTGAAGGCAAAGCATAAGGCTAAGGGCAAGATATCCGACACAAGGTAAAGCATAAGGGTAAAAAGAGGACATAAGGGCATCAGACATAAGGCATAAAAGGGGGTAAAAAAAGAAAGTAAGGGTAAAAGAGATAAGGCATGAGAGTCAAAAAGAAGGAAGGGTAAGAGAAGGGGGTAATCTCTACAAAGCTGTCAGTTTATATAGGCCGACAGACAAGTTAACAATCCCATAGGCGGTAGTAATAGTATCCAGCATGCATTTTCAGAGTCACAAGAAACCGGTGGATCGAATCCCACCTGGTGATGATATCGATAATCGATCAATCGATAGGTCGTTATCGATCGATAAATCGGAAAAAAAAAAAAGAAACCGGTGGATCTGGCAAGGTGGCACCTTATGTCTCAGAGGGGGCGTGACTGGACACACAGCCTTGGTGGTTACACTAACCTGGAGGCTTGATTTGCGTTAGCATCTAGCTGGTTGAGTTTAAAAAAATCTCTTCTGGGGACCTTGCTTTTGACTCCAGCAGGAGTGAGAATTTTTCTCTCTGAAGCTAGTTTTAGCAACCCAGTCCTTTTTCCTGTATAAACAGTTAGTTTCCCGGGCTATGATCTTATGTTAGTTGGAACCAAGGTAAAGGGTAATACAGACTATTAGTAGCCTGTTAAGCAGAAGACCAGTACATTACACCTTCCCGAGCCTCCTGTGTGAGGTCCTTTCTTATCAGTGACCACTGTCAATAAAGAAACTTTGTGGGGGACTAGTTTTGTGTAGATTTTGGCTCTGAGATTAAGCACTTGGCTGAATCCTTTTCACACCAAGACTTCACAGTGCTGGGGGGAGGAGGAGGCATCCTGTCGCCCTACAGGAAAAGTCAGGTTTAGACACTGCTGGGATACTATGGGAGAAAGAAATGCCATGATTTCACAAGACTTTTACAAAATTGACAGTGACTTATCCAAAGGGCAGATGTCCGCCGCAACTCTGCAAATGGATTCTCCAGATGGAGTGTATGTATACTCTTACCATGGATAGTTCAGCTGTCCATTTACTGTATACTTGTGGACTCACCACACTGGGATGCGGCTCAGGCAGGAGAGCGCTTGCCTAGTCTGCTAGAAGCGCTAGGTTTTATCTCCAGAAACTCCATAAGCGGGGTGTGGTGGTGCATGCCATAATCTCAAAACCCTGGAGGTGAAGGCAGGAAGATCAGAAGTTCACAGTCATTCTGTGTATCCAGCTCAAGGCCAGCCTGGGCTATACGAGATCCTTTCCCAAAAAGACAGAATATTAAGATAATTTGGTTTTTAAAAATGGAAGCAAATCACTTTTATTAGTTAAGGCCCAAACATAATTCAAATTGTATTTCCTTTAAAAATGTATATATTTACTGATTTCTTATATATAAGTTTACAACATCTTTTATTGACAATATAATGCATGTATACAATATACCTTGGTCCTATCCATCCCCAACATCCCGCCCCCTCACTTGACCCCAGTCAAATTGCTGTGTAGTGCCCAAGGAAGCAAAAACAGGGTGTCAGATCCCCTGGAGCTGGTGGTACAAGTGGTTATGTGGCTACAAACCACCATGTGGGTGCTCCAAAGTGAACCCAGGTCTTCTGCAAGAGCAGCGAGTGCAGTTATCTGATGAGCCATCTCTCCAGCCCCAAACTGTATTTCCTGATGAGACCATGAGTCAGCTTCTCTGCCCCCTTCCCTCTGTCTCACCAGTTTACCCAGCACTGAACGGAATGTTTCCGAAAATTTGTATCTCACACCACAAAGCTGCTGCACTGGTTAGTCTTAACTGTCCACTCGACACAGCCTAGAGTCGCCTGAGAAGGTGAGCCCCAGCTGAGGAACTGTCCAGATCAGACTGTCACCGGCCTGTCTATGCGGGATTCTCTGGGCTGTTAGTTGATGCAGGAGGGCTCGCCCACTCTGAGTGGCATTATTCCCTAGGCAGGTGATCCTGGGCTATGTAAGAAAACTAGCTGAAGCCTGGGCCTGTGAGCAAGCTAGTCAGCAGGCATCATTCTCGTGGTTTCTGCTGTATTTTCTGGCTGTGAAGTGAGTCTCTTGATTGGCGTTAACGATGTGTGGAATGGCAAGCAGGCCTACCTTGAGCTTCCTCTTTGACTTCCCTCAGTGACGGACTGTGATCTGGGATTATAGATCTTTTCTTTTCTGGGTTGCTTTTGGTATTTGGTATTTTGGTATTTGGTATTGGTATTATTTTGGTATTCTGAGTATTTTATCACAGCAGGAGAAGGGAAACTGTAACACCCACCCTGCAGGTCGCCACCGTCCCGTTTCATAGGACCCATGGGGCATCAGTGTTTTGCTTCTTTTTGAGATGAAATCTTGCTATGTACTCCAGGTTGGCCTTGGACTCGTAGAGATCCTCCTGCCTCAGCCTCCCAAGAGCTAAGATTTCAGGCATATGCCGCCAGGCCTGGCTTCCAAACATACCTTTTTGCTTACTTTACTTATGCTGGGAACTCTTGACTAGAACCGCAAGAGGGGGAGCAGCTCTGCTCGGTACAGTGCTTTGCTTTTGTTTTCGGTGCTGTGGATAAAACTCGACTCTTCGTGCATGCTGAGTCGGTGAGGCTCTGCAACTGTCCCCTCCTCCCTCAAGAAGACAAAGGAAACTTTAGGAAGTGTGGCTTGACCTCCATCATGGGGACTAAATACTAGGCAATACTGTAATAATTTGTCTCTGTCAACCTACACCTGTATAGTGTGTGTGTGTGTGTGTGTGTGTATGCATGTGTGTGTGTAGCATGCATGTGTGTGTGTAGCATGCATGTGTGGACATCAGAGGACAACTTTCAGGAGTCATTTCTCTTCTTCCACCATGTGGGTTTTGGAATTGAACTCGGATCATCAGGCTTGGCAGTAAGCACCTTCACCTAGGGAGCCATCTCTCTAGGTATAATTTACCTTCCAAAGGTTATGACAGTCTTTGAACCATGCCTTTGCAATCAGTGTTTCTAACCAGGCATGATGACTTACATGTGTAATGTCAGCGTTTGAGAGGCGGAAGCAGGAGGGCTGCCAAGAGTTTGAGGTCAGCCCGAGCTATCCAGAGGACGCCTTTGTCACAAAATAAACAAAATCAGTGTTCTTAACCAGAATTAGATGTTGCCTCCAAGAGACTGTCCCAGTATTTGGAGACATTTGGGGTTGTCATAACTTGGCATGGAAGGGGTGTGCACTTAAGAGTGCTTCTAGCAGGTAGCAGGTAGATGGCCCAGGCGCACAGTGAGCCAGTCTTGCACAGCAAGGAACCATCTGGCCCCAAATACCAGAAGTGTGAAGAAACCTTGAGCTAAGCAACACAAAAAGGAAGATTCATTTCCTGCTAGCCAACTAGCCCGAAAAATGGACCCCTTTCCTCTTCTGTGTTCTCCCCAATCCCTGCCCCACTGTGAGAGTATGCCTCTCCAGTCGTGGCAGGACTATGTTCTACTTTTCTTCCCGTGATGTTACCCTCTGAGATGGGGCCCATGTGCCCCGGTGTGTTGTCAGTTACTGTTTGTATGTGTGCATGCGTGTTCACATGCGGGTCAGAGGTTGACACGGGGCAGCTTCCTCATTGCTTCACCACCTTGTCTATCCATTTATTTATTGAGGCGGGGGTCTCATTATGTAACCTTGGCTGACCTGGCATGTGCTACCTAGACCATGCTGGCCTTGAACTCACAGCGCTCTCCCTGACTCTGCTTCTTGAGGCGTGCACTGCCATACCCAGTTGCCACCAAATTCTTTGAGACAGGGTCTTGTCCTAAACCCAGAATACTCACCGGTTGATAGAGTGGCTGGCCAGCAAACTCCAGGGATCCTTGTCTCCACCTCTCCAGCATTGGGGTTACAGGCCCTCGCTGCTTCCCGTGCTTGGTACCTCACCCTGGCACTCGAAATCCAAACTCATGTCCTTATGATTACACAACAGACCCTTCACCCACTGAGCCATCTCCTAGCCCTTTGGTTACCATTTTAATGGCTATAATACAATACTTCGGACAAGTCAATGCCCCACATCTTACCTAGCCAGTCTAAGTTTCTTTCTGGAGGTGCTGGGGGAAGAAAAAGTAGTGCTTACCAGTGGTCTCCTGGGGACTGTGGCTCAGTGACCCTGCTGTGGCCAGCCTCCTCTTCCCACAGCCCAGGCTTTGGCCTCATCATCAAAAGGCCTTTATGAAGTCTCTGTGAATGCCTCATCCCACTGGGAGGCTCTACTGCAGAGATTGCCCCACCGGCCTCTGACATCCAGGGCAGGCTGGCTCAGGCAGACAGCATATATGTGAGCCAACCACAAAGACATCTAAAGACCAGGCCATTGGCCTTAGGCAGAGTGTAAACACGGACTCTTAGATAACATTCATGCCAAGGGTAAGCATAGCCGGGAATGCAGAGCCAGATTGCACTCCCAAAGCCAGTCTGGCCCTTAGATCCCAACTGGCTAGGGACGACTTGGAGGACAGGGTTCTCAGAAGCTCCTGGGGAGAGAGTGGACAAAGGCAGGGAGGCTGAGGACCAGGTCAAGGAACTACTCAGTCACCCAGGAAACTTGATGCTAGCCAGAGCCACCCCTCCCTTTGTCTCACCTCCTTGCCCCTTCCTTGTCTTCCCTCCACAGGTGTTCCATGAGCAGGGCATCCTCTTTGGCTACCGACACCCACAGAGTTCCGCCACTGCCTGTATCCTCAGCCTTTTCCAAATGACCAATGAGACCCTCAACATCTGGACGCACTTGCTACCCTTCTGGTACCTTCGCCCCCTCCCTGGACAGCCTATCTCATTTGGGATCCCTGGGGACTAGACTTTGTAAAACACAGCTGGGTGGCAGGGAGATTTTATGCTAGGGCCGGGGGTCCCCTCTGTGGGTACAGGTGCATGGGTGACGGGGGAAGGAGCCGGGACTGTCACGGACTAAGCGCCAGGCTGTGGACTGCCATAGGATTCTAGGGTTTCTGTTGACCGGGTAGTATTTATCTTCATCTCTTCCAGTCTTACAGGCTTTGCTGGTCTTTGAGAAGTCTTTATTAAAATGTCACTAACTTGAGCAAGTCACTTAATCTCTCTGAGCCGGGCATTTTCTGCCTGTAGAGCAGACACGATCCTCTGTCTGTGCCTTGGGGTGCTGTGAGGACTGAGAGAAGACCCTAATAAAGACAAAGAGGCAGGAGCTGGAGACGTAGCTCGGGTTGTAGTGTGTGTGCAGCAAGTTCTGCTGTCAAACCCTAGTACTGCATGAACCAGGCCTGGAAGCCTCACACTCCCCAGGACTCTGCAGGTAGAGGCGGGAAGAGTTCAAGGTCATCTTCAGCTACGTAGTGAGTTTGAGGCCAGCCTGGGCTACATAAGACCCTCTCTGGAAAAACAAAAACAAACAAACAAACAATAAATAAATAAATAACAGCAAAAAATACATAGGCATGGTTGTGGGTGTGAGTAATTATCTGGGGACTATAGCAGCCAGGTACCGTTGGTCATCTTTAATGGAGCCAACTAGGAGCCAAGCTCTGGGAGGTAAGGGTGCAGAATGGGGCTTGCAGGAAGGCTAAGAGGCTCTTTGCTGAGAAAGGTGGGGTGAAGATCAACTTTACACACCTCGAGCAAAGGTTCTGGAAATGGAGAGGTGGGATCACAGGATCACATCTCCACACCATGGTGCAGCTCTCCGAGGATCTGTGGGGATTGGTTCCAGGGTTCCCTAAAGATACCAGAACCTGTAAGTTCTCTGCGTGGCAGGTGGCACCATATTTACATATCTCACCGCACATCTTCCTGTGTCCTTTAAATCATCTCCAGATTCCTTAAAATGCCTGAGGCCGAGTAAACACTATGCCAAAGGTTGTTACACTGTTCAGACAATAAGGACAAGAAAAATGTCCGCATATGTTCAGTTCAGAAGCCAGCCCTCCCCGCTGGGATATTTTGCTTGACTCTAAGGAAACAAAAGGTGGAGGTCTGGAGGGTTGGGTGTGTGTCAGGCCTAGGAGGACCTCAGCGGTCAGCAGGACACTGTCCTACTCAGACTTCTGCGGGCTGACAGGATGGCAGGTGCAGCCAGAGAGGGGAAACTGTCCACACAGCACACAGATGGTGGCCCAGGCCAGGCCTGAACAAATCCTTTGAGTCATTCTAAGAAGCTGAGCTAGGTGGAGAGTCCCTGAGTGTGGCCAGCGGACATGAGCCCCAGGAAGGCCCCTGTGATTAGCATGGAACAGCTAGCCCAACTAGATGTGTAGCGGCATATTACTTGTTTTTTAATAAGTAAATCTTGCCTGAAGACCAGAAGCAATGCTAAAGCCACTAGAGGTCAGGAGATGGTGACACACACCTTTTATCCCAGGATTTGGGAGACAGAGGCAGATGAATCTCTGTGAGTTTAAGGCCACCCTGGGCTATACAAGATCAATGCAGAAACAAATTCAGGTGGTGGTTGCTCGCACCTTTAATCCTAATACTAGGGAATCCTGCCTTTAATCCCAGCACTAGAGGAAGTATAAAATGCGAAGAGAGAGAGGCTTAGTCTAGTTAGTTTGCAGTCACCCAGCCTTGGTCGAGGTAAGATTTCTCCAGTGGCTCGGCTGCCTTGTTTTTCTGGTTTTTGGGTTGATTTATTTTTTAAAATACAAATAATACACTACTCTATGGATGTCAGAAGATAGAGTGGGGATCCAGAAACTAACAGGAGGGGAGAGGGAAGACACAGTCTTGGGGTGAAGTGAGGTGGTCTGTAGAGAAGCTTGGCTGCCCTGTGGCCTGCCGTCTGCCCAGTGGCAGCAAGGTCTAGTAGCTTGAGAAGGCCATTGGCCACATTAAATCTTTGCTTCCGTAGAAATCTGAGGCTGGCAAGGTGGGCCAATGAGTGATGGCAATTGACAAGCAAGCCTGGCAGCCTGAGTGTGGTCTCCAGAACCTATGTAAAGGCAGAAAGAAAAACAATGACTCCACCAAGTTGTTCTCTGGCCTCGATATATGTGATATAGCATGCACGCATGTGCAAGCACACACATGTGCACACACAACACTCCATACACACAATGATAAATACAAAAAATTTTATTAAAGACTTTATGCCTTCTGAACGTGGTTGTACATGCCTGTAATCCCAGGATTTGGAAAGCTGCAGCAGAAAGAGCATGACTTTGGGGCCCAGCCTGGGCTATGAACGGGGGCCCTGTTTCAAAGCAGTATCAACAACAACCTGGACATGCTGATAAACTGAAGACCGCACAAGGGAATAGATCCAGGCTGTTCCTCTGACCCCCATTCTCCTCCCTGGAGCTGCTGGGGCCACTTGTTTCTGTGTGCCCGCCAGAGCTTTCCCAGACAGCCTTGACTGTGGCATGTGCGCCCCGCCGCCTGTCTCTTCTCCCACGGTCTTCCCGTTGCCCATCTCCCTTGAAGATCACTTATCTGTTTAGACCAAATTTTAAAATTTGTGCCACCACGTCATGCTTTCCATTGCTTGTATATGCTGAGGTCCATGCACAGCTGAGTCGTCTACACTGCTCGCAATTCCCAGTGCCAGCCAGGTTCTCAGCACAAAGCACAGAGCATTATGGAGAGGCCCAGGGAAGCCTGTGCTAGGATACCCCGAGCAAATAGGATGAGGAAGAACCTGTTGGGACAAAAGGAAAATTTTGGAGGAACAGCAAACAGCCTAAGATTCCCCCTCTGTAGATCAATAGGAGAAAGTAGGTAGCCAGGAAGGCTTTATGGCTCTCCTTCAGTTACTGGGTGAAGAGATGTGTCGAGTCCCTTTCCTTGATGGACATTGTGGGAAAGGGACCTAGCTCTTCAGCTGGGGTTTGTGAAGGGGGGGGTGTTGTGTAGGCAGAACCCACATATAGTTGTAGGCCAATGTAGGTACAATGTAGGTACACACGTAGGTACATGTGACTTAGGATGGTCTTCCCAATACTCAGAACTACCCTAAGAGGGAATGAGACCCTCATTCTTAGGGCTATGTAAGCTGAGACTGGAGAATATCTTGGGCAAGATGCTATAGGAAGGATCCTGTCTCCAAGGACTGTCTTTTTCCCTACTTGTCTGTTCCTAACTCACTGCTTCAAGTCAAAGAGGCTTCTCTAGTGCATGGCGTTTCTTTTTAGTAAAGAGTCACTGGAAGGGCCGTCTCCCAGTGGGGTGGAAGGCAGCAAACGGTCCAGAGGGGATTGAGCGGGTGCACATTCTGTTCCAGGTTCTTTGTGTGGAGGTTCGTGACTGCACTGTATATGACAGACATCCAGAATGACAGCTACTCATGGCCTATGCTCGTATACATGTGCACCAGCTGTGTGTACCCCCTTGCATCCAGCTGTGCACACACCTTCAGCTCTATGTCCAAGAACGCCCGGCATATCTGCTACTTTCTGGACTATGGTGCTGTCAACCTCTTCAGCCTGGGTACGTGAGGCCCTTGCCCTTCCGTCCCCTGCACCCGAGAGTGTCACCTGTCTCCCAGGAGATTTGATGGGTTTTAGGGTTTTAGCAAAGTCATAAAGATGCAGGAGCCCTGTCCAGGGCTCTGGAAGAAGCGTGTTCATATTTGTGCTGCCTGTGGATGTACCCTGACTGGCATGTTTGCCAATTCCTATGGTGTAAATGCCCCCGCCTTGTCTCCCTCCCTGTTCTCTGAGTGGCATCACCAGTTGTAGAGGTATAAGGAGACGCTTAAGAGCAACCTCACTACATAGTAACTCCATCACACAGGTCCATGTGCTAAGTACTTAGGACTTTGGTTACTGTGATTTATTTAATTGTAACTTTTAGTGATGACCGGGATTAACCACAGGCTTGCAAGGACTCTGAAATGTTCACAGTCTGGCTCTCACGGGCCACCAGGGGCTGACCCCAGCACATCAGGGCTGAGATCTGGTCTACCTAGTAGAGATAGGAGGATGGAGTCACAAACCACAATTGCGCAGAGGCTTAGAGGCGTCAACTTTTCAAAGCTCTGAAGCTTTGTTGGTGAGTGGGTAGTGCTGCCTCATGCTTGTTGGCTTTTTTTCTGGCTAGAAAGCCCCTCCTCCTGCTTCTCTTCTCCACACGGTTATCATCCATCCCTTAGGATGCTGGTTCTGGCTTCTTCCTCCATCCCAGCCCCGCTCTAGCTGGGAAAGCCAGTCACTGTATCTGCTTTTGCATGAATTTGTCCAGGAGGAGCTACCCTCATTACCCTCGTCCTTCTTCCTCTTCCCTCACAAGTGTACACCTGCATCTCTCTCTCTCTCTGTCTCTCTCTCTCTCTCTCTCTCTCTCTCTCTCTCTCTCTCACACACACACACACACACACACACACACACACTCACTCACTCACACACACACTGGTCAATGCTCCACGGTCCAGTTCTCTCCAGTCATTAAAACTGGTTGCTATGGTCTCAGTCCCTTCATGTCACCCTCCTACATCCCTATTCTCAGTCTTTTCTGGTTCCTTTCTCCCCTCTACCCCATAGCTGGGCACACTCAGAATTCTCAGTAACTCAGGATTAACCACAGGGCCTTTTGTCTAGCATGCCCAGGAGCAGCCTCCCATCCCTAACATCTTTGGACAAGGGAGTCTTAAACCTTGTCTTTAAACACTGGATCTGAAGCCTGTTCTTTCTCTCAGGTCCCTGGCTAGGGGTGCCACCTCTTGCTTTGCTCAAGTCTTAACTAATAAGCTTCGGCTCCTCCTCCAACTTCTACTCCCCATTCTATCTAATCAGCTGTCAAGCTCAGGCTGTCCCATGAACCCTCAGTCAGCTTGACTCAGACCTGGAGCTTCTTAGAGCTCTGCCTTTCAGCTCCCCCATGTTACCTGGGAAGTTCCTGCCTCATCTCTTGCCAGGTCCCCTCCCACTAGAAGGCTTCCAGGCTCTTTAGTACCTGGGATAAGTCCAGATCTTCAACCCAGTGACTTCCTAAAGGCCCAGGCTCCTCTCTCCTCTCCTCTCCTCTCCTCTCCTCTCCTCTCCTCTCCTCTCCTCTCCTCTCCCTTCTTTTTTGAAACAGAGCCTTGAACTTGCTGTGTAGCCAAGAATGACCTAGACTTCTGACCCTCCCGTCCTCTTTTTCTAAGAACTCTGAAAACAAGCGTGTGCCACTGCGGTCGATTTAGACAGTGCTGGGAGTGGGACTCAGCTGTGTGCATGTCAGGCAAGCCCTCTACCAACTGAACTACATCCTCGGCTGCTTCCTGGGGATTCTAATACAAACAAGCATTTTGAGAAGTCCTTCTCAGCCAGCTACGGGCTGAGTCCCCGACACACACCTCTTTAAAATGGATTTATTTTTATTTCTGTTTGTCTGTGTGCCACGTGTGTGGGTGCCAGTGGAGGCCAGCAGGTCCTCTGGAACTGGAGCTACCAGTGGTTGTGAGCTGCCTGGCATGGATGCCAGAAACTGAACCAGGTCTCTCAGGCCCCTCTGGTACACATTTTGACATGGCACTTGGATCCAGATCCTGACCTTGTGCCACCTGTCCCAAATTCAGTCTTAGACGAATATCTTAGCTTTTCTAAGCCTTGTCCTCTTGAGCAGATGTAGGAGGGTTATGAACAAATTCAAATGCTTTGATTCTGTGTTTGTCTCACAGGGCAGCTATTACTGTGATTGACAGTGGTCTCCTTTACCTGCTCCCTAGCCCATCTCAAACACCTGTCCCCCACAGGAACCCCTAGGCTCAGGTCAACTTTGCTTCCTGCTATATTTTCAGGCACGTTTGAGCCCCTTTATCTAGCATGCAATGCTTGGTACACACCTTTGCTCCAGTCAGCACTGCTGGAACATCTTGGTCCAGATATCTCCCTGAGCATCAGGTCTGGAGAAGGGGTCCCTGGTCTCCTGGAGCTGAGTTCCTGGGTGAACGCCCATGGGAATTTTGAACGGTTTTAGGAAGGTGATGCTCCATCAGCACTTGTGTTTGTTTACATGTGTGTGCAGGTGAGGTGGTGCTTTTAGAGACGAAATATCTCACTGGCCTGAGAGTCACTAATTAGGCTAGGATGCCTGGCTAATAAACCCCAGACATTTGTTGCTGCCTCCCAGCACTGGGACTACAGGTGACTACCACCAGGCTGGGGTCCCTTCAGCAGGTGACTACCACCAGGCTGGGGTCCCTTCAGGTGACTACCACCAGGCTGGGGTCCCTTCCGGTAACTATCATCAGGCTGTGGACCCTTGGCCTTGGATTATTTTTACTGGAAGATCCACCTGTTGAACGGGAGAAAAGACGGGTTGAATCTGGCCTGTTTCTGCTTCTAATTATGAATCCAAGGTACTTAATGTATTAAAACATTGGTTTTCAACGTATGGACTGAGACCCCTTTGAGCCCTTTCACAGGGGCCATTTAAGACTATTAGAAAACACAGATAATTACGTTATGATTTGTAAGAGTAGCAAAATTACAGTTATAAAGTAGCAACAAAAGTGATTTTATGGTGGGGGGGGGTCACCACAACAAGAAGAATTAAAAGGTTGCAGCATTAGGAGGATCGAGAACCACTGTATTAGAACAACATGAATCGGGACCAGATCCAGCCTCTCCCATACGTAAGGGTACAGATCCCAGCCACTCTGAGATGGGCAAAAGTATCTCCTGTTCCTCCAACCAAAAGCTTTCACAGCGAATCTCTCAAGAAAGTTCTGATGTAGCTGCTTCCCTCATACTCCAAAACCCAGAGCCAAGCCCCACACTGACTGGTCACTGATAGGACATCCCTGTCCTTAGGGATATGCCCTCTTTTCCTGTGATACTGAGCATCTCAGGAAGCACCTTGTCTACAAGTAGATGAGTTTGGTAGCATCATTAGTGACAGCCTGTGGCTAGGAACTGGGGTTCCTCTCCGGGCTGGCTGGGTTTGAAGCTTGTTTCTATTTTCTTGATGTGACTCCAGATAAATTACTATGTCTCCTGTGCTTCTGTAGAATAAGGGTAAGCTTTCTATGGGACAGGATTGTAAACACACACACACACACACACACACACACACACACACCTCTAAGAAGGGCATAACCTTATAGATTTTGAGTGAACAGAGAGGCAAGAGGATATTCTGAGAAGGCACAGAGGCGGGCTAGCTCAGGATCCCGTGCAGAAGGTGAAGGCTAAGGTTGTCTTTCCCACGAGTCCCCGTGGTGCTGCGGCCCTGCCTGGGTCTCAAGGCTGCTGTTTCTTCCGCAGGCTCTGCCATCGCCTACTCTGCATACACATTCCCTGATGCACTGATCTGCAGTACCTTCCATGACTGCTACGTAGCCCTGGCTGTGCTGAACACCATTCTCAGCACTGGTCTCTCCTGTTACTCCAGGTATGGACACTATGATCTTAGGTGGGAAGCCGGGGAGGACCTAGCATGCATCCCCATGGGAGACGCCCCGTAGAGAAGGCTCTAGGAGCCTGACTCCAGGTAGAACCCCTGTTATCCGATGTACTGGTTACTTTACTCATTGTTACTGACAAAAGCGACCAAAAGGAAGAAGGGTCTTCTCTGCCTCACAATTGGAGAGTACAGTCCATCAAGGCAGGAAGTCATGCATTGCGTTTGCAGTCAGGAAAACGGGGATGGATGGTGCCGCCAGCTAGCTTGATCCTTTTCCTTCACTTCAAGACCCCAGTTTACAGTGTGATGTCACCCACAGTTAGGGTGAGTCTTCAGTTAATCAAATCTAGAAACTTCTGCATCAGCCTGCCCCCATTCAAGATTCATCTCCATGCCTGGGTATCCCTTGGGCAGCCCTTCTACGCTTTGGAAAAGCCCCCCTATGACCTGATGCTCTGAAATTCTCTGTAACTTAAACAAGAGTGTCCCTATGCTGCAATTTTTTTTTAAATTTTATAGCTGGCTTTACTGCTTAGGCAGGTCACCATGTGTCTTCCTTGAACTTCAACTCATTCACCTGTACAGTGGGGTCAACACCGCTCCCTTCTGAATAGAAGATGTAAATCATGTGCCTGGGATGACACACACCCTCTGTGAGGGCTCAAGCCTGGCAGAGAGGGGTCCTCATAGTCAGGCAGTCCTCCACAAAGAGTGATGGGGGTGCATCATCACTAGGTACCTATGATGTTGGGGGATGCCTCATCGCTGGGTACCTGTGATGGTGGGGGATGCCTC